GCACCCGCCGTCCCTTTCCCAAACCAAATGCAACGTGGTTGTGGGGCTCTCGTGCATGATCCAGATTTCAGTACAAAGTGTTACGTTGTATGCAAGGGATAATGGGGCGGTGTTGGCAGTGCACGGAGCAGGCAATATGCAGGCATTCCCCGCCGTGCCTTTTCACAACTCATGCAAGGTGATCACGGGTCGCCCGCGCGTCATCCAGATCTCAGTGCAACGTGTACGTTGTATGCAAGGAATGGTGGGGTGGTGCTGGCACCGCACACAGCAGGCGATATGCCAGCACCCCCGCCGTCCTTTTCAAAAACCAGCGCAAGGTGATCACGGGGCGTCCGTGCATGATCCAGGTTTTGGTGCAACGTGCAGTGGGCACTGTTTTTTGGCAGAGATGGCGGGGGACGGCCACATGGTCCCTGGTTTGTCGCTGCTCCGGTGGAGGGGGGGTATATGAATAAGGCGTACGATCGTTGCTGGAAACGTCTGAGTAGTGTTTGCTGGCAGGATGATGTGCCTGCGCGCAGCAGGTAATAGACCTGTAATTACTTCCCGCCCCTGTCAGACAGCAATGTACCGTGATCTTTTGGTGTCCGCGCATGATCCATGTTTTGCCGCAACGTGCATTTTGCATTGTTTGTTAAGGTGAATGGTGGGGGGTATTGTCATGGTTCCGGGTTCGCCCCTGGTCGGTTGGGGGAGGGGGCGTACACGAATAAGGATCAACGATCAAATTTCCAGTGGGAATGCCGCTGGTTGTCTTGCTCACTCCCAGCCGCCATCCCACTACATAGCAGCATCCGAGTCCCAGTAGGAACCAATGCAGACGCCAGCCAGGTGCGGGACGCCCGCGAGGTATGCCGCACATGCCAGGTGCGTTGCGCGCAGCAGGTGCGCCTCTCTGGGCCATATGTCGACCCCCCCACACCGTCCTTTGCAAGAACCAATGCAAAGTGACGTCGGGTTTGCCAGCCGTGTGTATCGTTTGTGTGAGTTTGCGCACCCACAATCATTCTGCCGTTTTTTGTTCACGGGGATGGTGGACCTGCGAGTGAATCTATCTCTCAGAAACGATGTTCTACAACGTGCGCGCCCGCCTCCCATGTTGTCACTCGCAAGTGGACTTTGAACTGTTTTTCTGTTGACATGGATGGTGCGCCTGCACACTGCAGGCAATGACGCAATGTGCTGGCACCCCCGCCAAACACAATGCCAAATGATCGCGTGGCGCATTTTATATGGCTTTTGAAATTGGTGATGCGGAGGGGGCGGCATTGTGTGTATGCAGCAGGCAATATGTTGGTACCGACGCCGTCTCTGTCAAACACCAGTGCACAGTGATCGTGCGTCGCCCGCGCACGATCCTGCTTTAGGTGCAAATTGGAGTGTGTCTTGTTTCTTGCAAGGGGTGGGGTGGGGGCATTGAACACAGCACACACTATGCAGCCCCCCCCGCTGTCCCTTTGAGGGATGCTGGTAGGATCGTTGAGTGTTCCCAGCTCATCGCTGGTCGGATGGGGGATCCTGTGTTCATAAATCTGAAGCAATGATGAACCCCCCTCCCGAGCAGGGTAAGAGCGAAGGTGCAGATCCGTTCCACCCCCTCCGCCCAAAAAAGGCTGGTAGGATTCTCCTCCCCTCCCCCGTAAGGGTTGTATCTCGGCCCACTGCAAGGCTCGCGGAATGGTTTTGCGATCCTTCTCTCGAGTTATTTCTTTATTTCGTGTTTCTCTCTCTCTCTCTCTTTATCCCTCTCTTTCTTTCTTTCTCTCTCTCTCTCTCTCTTTCTTTGTCTCCCTCCCTCACTCTCTTCCACTCACACACCACAGGAGAAGATGTGTCTGTAATCCTCAAGCAAAAGAATAATTGGGTGGCGCCCTGACAGAGAGATTCCTTTGGCAGCGGGCCCTGGCAAAAGGGGGATTATGAGTTGATTATTTTTGTAGCGGTCGTATAATTGATTTTTTCTGTGGGGTAATTCGGAGACCCCAGGAGAAGAACTAACGTTTAAACATATTTCAAACATGCGTGAACACAAGTGTGGTTATAATGTTTGTGGTGTCCTGTTGCTGCGAAAAGGGTATGTATTACATTGTTTGTGGGTTCTCGATGCCGAATACATTGTGAAACAGAGCGCCTCTAGCGATCATGATGAAAACACAATGCGCAATGTTATGCTCGTCTCAAGGCTGCGGAAACCAAAGCAATTTTCTATGGCACGTAATCTTGTTTTTTGATTATTGGAATTGCGTTGTGTCATTTTGATTATTCATACTGATGATTGGAACTGCGGGAGTGCGTAACACATTGTGGAACACTGTGCTTTGGACGCCTGGATGCCGGACACATTCGTTTCATAATTCGTTTCGTTGTATCGAACATTGAAAACACATTATGTCTCACATTTGCCTCAGTTTTTGTTGGATGTGTTGTTGTTCCTCATCGGAGTCCTCCATCGTGCGCCACACAAGGAATCCGTTTTTTGTAACCCACCACAGCAGGAATTAATGTAACCCGCCCCAATCTGAATCCTTGTGTCACCAGCCACTCAAGGGATCTATTGCAACTCGCAGGAGAATACTCAAAGTAGAGGATCCCGATTGGGGGGGGGGGGGGGGCGGAAACTAGTGGGGGGGGGCGATGCAGGCAGACCTGGGCCAGGAGCGCGCCCCTCCAGAGCACGAGGCCCTCCGCCGGCCAGAGCAGGCAGAGCCCCCAAGGGGGGTCCCCCCCAGGAGGCACGAAAAACATCCCCAACAGACCCGCTGTGTCACAAAAAGGAGCCCGATTGCAGTCCGCCGAGGAAGGAATTTGGTCTTGCAGGCCGCCATCGGCTTGCAATCCGCAATCGATGGAATCATTGTATAAGCTGCCAGAAACAGGGATCATCAACGGCATTTGCCTAAGAAAAGTTATCATTGCAACCCGCAGCGAAAGACATCTTTTTGCAAAGGTTGCCGCAAACTGAACTCAATTCCTTGTGCAAGTCGACGGAATAGAAACCAGTTTCGCCAGGTCGCCACGATAGGGCTCCCTTTCTGAATTCGCCACAGGGAAACCAAAGTACTTTTCCGGCCCTCAAGCAAGTAATCTGTCTTCGTAATGTTTGGTCTGAACAGGAGGACCAGGACAAGACGAGGGGGAGGAGGAGGGGAACAGATGAGGAGGAGAGGCAGGAGTAGAATGAGGAGGAGATTGAGGGAGAGGAGTTTTTGAATTTGGAATGGGATTGTATTGAATGGGATTGTATTGAAGATCCCTGGGAACGTCGCCTCCTCCCTAAGGCATTGCGTGCGTGCTTGGCGCCCCTGGATCTCGAACGCATTGACGAATCGTACCGCGGCTTTTTCGGTGAACTTGACAGTACACATGGCCCCACGGGGATTGAGGGGAGGCCCCCCAAGATTATACATCTCATCTCGAATCGTATTCATCCCCGCGTCCTCTTCGCTACCGCATTTTTTCATTACCATCATGTCTGCACATCAGCCTGCGTCACTCTCCTCATTCGTCCTGCTCCCTCTGGTCTTCTACCCCTCCTCTCCTGGCGACGACGCTTTTGGGGCTCGTGCTCCTGGTTTCGTCGGCGCCGAACCCTTTGGAGCTCGTGCATGTTGGTGCCACATGTGCTGAACCCTCAGCGGGCCCTGGAAACGACAGGGCCGTTTTTGTTACCGGTTCAGTTTTCCGTTTTTGTTGCCCGTTCCGACGCCGTTTGTTTACATGTTCCGTCGCCGTTTTTACTAGTTCTGGCTTTGGTTCCAATATTGGGGCCGTTTATTTGCCATTTCGGGTCGCCGAATTTCTGCCGTTCCCATTTTCAAGAGACACTTTTTCGGAAACGTGAAAAAACGGCCCGGCGGTTTTTGGGGCCCACTAAGGCAGAATCCATCGGGGATGGTGCTAAGAATGCCTCGATTGCAGAACCCTTCGGGGTTCGTTCTCCTGGCTTCGTCGGCGCTGCACCCCTCGGGGCTCGCACCCCGGGCCCACTCGATGTACGCAGTTGTTGTTAGAGTAACAGTTTCTTTGGGTTGTTTTCGCAGTTTTTCGTGGCCTAGTTTCGCAGTTTTGGCTGGTTGTCAAATCTCCCTGTAGGAGGACAGGCCCGACTTACGCCTGGATCCCACGGCCCTTTTTCGGGCCTCTTCGGGCCTCTTGGACGCCGCCGCATAGCAGAATCGGGATGTCTTCGAGCGGTTCTACTACGGCGCGCTCGCTTCGGCGCACGCCCACTGAAGGTAGGAGGGGTGCAGGGCAGGTGGGGGAGGAGCAGGAGGAGGGGGAGGGGGAGGAGGATGAACAGGAGGAGGCGGAGAAGGAAGAGGAGGAGGAGGAGGAGGAGGAGGAGGAGGAGGAGGAGGAGGAGGAGGAGGAGGAGGAGGAGGGGGAGGGGGAGGGGGAGGGGGAGGAAGAGGGGGAGGAAGTCGCGACTCCAAGGCTTGCGTTTGCCCTGCTCCATCCCCATCTTTTTCTTCTAACGCAGAGGAACATCCGAAGGCCTTTTAAGACCTCCGTCGACGTCCAAGTCCAAGGCCTCCAGAAATGCCAGATCAACATTCGAATACTTTGCTCCAGAGCGCTCTTCGGCGCAGCGGCATTCCTCTGGCAGCACATCCAGAGGATCCCAAGTGGATTCCAATAGTTTTCCGATCGGAATGGAGCAGATCCATATGCCAAGAAACCCACAGGACCCCATCTGATGTTGAACTTGCTTCAGCCGGGGGCGGAGATACAACCTCCAGGGAGCGGAGATGCAACCTCCCCTCCCCTCCTTTTCCCCGTCGTCCTCATTGCTCATCCCCCCTCCTTTCTTCGTTCCCCGCCCCCCTCCCCCACCGTAACCGCTCGCCCTCCTTCGAGCGAGAGAGTGAGGAGGCCCAACATGCGTAGAGAGCCTCTGTCAGGGTGGCTGATGGGCTCCCTCCTCCCCCGCCTCCTCCTGCCGATCCTAGTTCTCCTCCTCATCCTCCTCCTTCCGATGCTCTTTCTCCTCGTCCTCCTCTTCCTCCTCCTTTTCGTCCTCCTCTCTCTGCCACAGGGCGCCCTGCGGATCTCTGAAACAAGCGAGGTGGCTGGTGGGCGTCGAGATGATGGCGCTGCAGGGCTTCCGGCCCGACGACCTGGACCTGACGGGATTGACGGAGACCGACATCAGGCCCTTGCGGCGAGCCGCCCACATCAGGGGCAACGCGAGGCTCGAGGTTGTGATCGTTTTTTTCAGAGGATGGACAGGTACCCATACCTCTACCCCCCGCTCGTTTCCCCTTTTTTAGGCCTCCTGGGCCTCCGTCGTCACCACCACTGGATTCGCATCGAAATCCTGGTCAAAACGCAACCCAGGAGAGGTCCGGGTAGTAGCGGTATCAGTAGCTATTGGTTCTCCAGTTTTCTTATTCATTGTTCTATCGATCGGCGCAGGCCCTCGCCTTCCCCGCCTCCCCCTCTTGGAGTAGACATTTACTGTATTTGGCGCTTGTTTCGAGCAGGTGGAGTCTCTCCCCCTTCGGGCGCACTGCTGCAGCAGGGCACGACCAAATCGATGTTTTGGCGATCTCGTGGACCGTTTTCGTTTTAATTTTGTTCTGCAGCAGCGGCGGAACGAAGACAGACCGAGAGACAACGAAGACAAAACGAAATCGGAACAAAAACTGCTTAGGTCGAGCATGTGCTACAAACAGTCGCACCAAGGAGAGGTCCAGCGCCAGACCCCCCCTCCCCCCCTTCCACCCAATGTCGAAACGCCGAAAAAGAAAACACTCACGTACGAGGTTCGCGTCGTGTCGACCAGCGGCGACCCCAGCGCGGACGTTCAAGGTTGAACGCCGACGGCGGCCCAGAATCGGTCGATGTTGAACGATCGGACGTTGCGGCAGCGGCCGATCGCTCAAGGTTGAACGATCCTCGCGGCGTCAGGAACCAACGCCAGGGTCGACACGGCACGAACCTGCCGTACGAGGTTCGCGGTGTTCTGGCGTTCTCGTCAGGCCCCAGCGGTTTTCCAGCCTCGGGGGGCCTTCCGGCAGCGGCGCCTCGCCGAGAGGCTTCCGCGGGCGCCCAGATCTGTCGCGAACGGCCGCCGGAGGCCGGAGGTTCGGCCTTGGCCCAAGAGCCCCGGAAACCGGACGACGAGGAATGACGAGGATCATTGAGGGGGGGGGAGGAGGAGGAGGAGGAGGAGGACGAATAATACAAACAATAGTACGAATATTAAGTAGAAGAGGAGGAGGAGGAGGAGGAGGAGGAGGAGGAGGAGGAGAAGCAGGAGCAGGAGGAGGAGGAGCAGGAGCAGGAGGAGCAGGAGGAGGTCGGTGGTTGGCAGGTGGTGATTGGGGGTGACCCACATGGAGGGTGAAGAAAGAAGAGCCCTAAAGAGGCCCTCGAGGACCCCTTTTTTAGGCACCCGCTGGCTCCAAAAGGGGCCCCACAGTTCTCCTTTAGGGCCCTCCTCCTCTTCCTCCTCCTCCTCCTCCTCCTCATCGTCATCATCATCATCATCATCAGCATCCTCGTCCTCATCCTCATCATCATCAGCATCAGCATCAGCATCAGCATCATCATCATCAGCATCATCGTCATCGTCATCGTCATCGTCGTCATCAGCATCATCATCATCATCATCATCATCATCATCATCATCATCATCATCATCATCATCATCATCATCATCATCATCATCATCATCATCATCATCATCATCATCATCATCTCATCATCGTCATCATCATCATCGTCATCATCGTCATCGTCGTCATCAGCATCACCATCACCATCACCATCACCATCATGATCATCATCGTCATCATCATCAGCATCATCGTCAGCATCATCATCTCCCTCCTCCCCCTCCCCCTCCTCCCCCCCCTCCCCCTCCTCCTCCTCCTCCTCCCCCTCCTCCTCCTCCTCCTCCTCCTCCTCCTCATCCTCCTCATCCTCCTCCTCGGGCCACCTCCTCGGGGCCCCGAGGGGAGTCCAGCCCCCCCCTGAAAGGCACCTCGCCGGCAACGCCATGACCGTGCCAGTGGTCGGCGCCTTCCTGCTCCTCCTGCTGAGCCAGGCCCTGGGGCCGCCGGGAGGGAGGAGGAGGGGAGGGAGGGGAGGGGAGGGAGGGAGGAGGGAGGGGAGGGGAGGGAGGGGAGGGGAGGGAGGGGATGGGAGGGAATAGGAGAGGAGGGGAGGAGGAGGAGGGAGGGGGAGGGAAAGGGGAGGGAGGGAGTAGGCCGTCGGGGCGGGCTGGAGGGAGGAGGCCGTCGGGAGGGGCGGGAGGGAGGAGAAGGGACGTGAGGGAGGAGGAGGGAGGGGCCGTCGGGAGGGGCGGGAGGGAGGAGGCCGTCGAGATCTCTGGCGATCGGGGGCCGCCGATCGTTCAAGGTTTCACGTTGTGTGCGCCTGCGGGTCAGAGATGTGCCCTCTCTATTCTAGACGCCTCGCCTAACCGCAACAGCCCATCCAGAAACGATGCCAAGACGGTTTGCCCTGAACAGGGGCGTGGAGGAGCATGCAGTGGACTAAGAGGCTGGGTGAGACGTCATTCTCCAAGATGGAGAGGATGGATGAGAAATCGGAGGAGGAACAGGAGGAGGAGGGGAGGAGTAGGGAGAGGGGCCAGAGGAGGGGGGAGGTGGAAAGAGGAGGAGGAGGAGGAGGAGGACGAGGGGGAGGAGGACTAGGCGGATAAGGAAGAAGAGCAGGAGGAGGAGGAGGAGGAGGAGGAGGAGGAGGAGTAGGAGGAGGTCGAGCAGAACAACCAGAGGCACCTTTGATGCCTCTCGGAGTCTCTGCGGATGTCTTTCGAGAACTTCTTGGAGGCCTCGGGCGTCTAGGGGGTCTCTTGGCAGTTCCAGAGACCTCTTGGGGTATCTTGGGTACCTCTTAGAGGGCCTGGGGGTATTTTGGGGGCTTTTCGGGGTCATTTTGGGGCCTCCTGGGCACCTCTTGGGGCCGTCTTGGGCCACCCTAGGGAGACTCGGGGGCTACCTTGGGACCATCTTGGAGGAGATCGATCAAAGTAGGGGGGCTCCTCAATCAGGCCACTCACAGCACGCCAAAATGTGACCCAGATCTTCGTGACATCAATGATGTTGGCCTTCTCGCCGAGGCCTCTTCGGGCGTCTTGGGTGCCTCAGTGGGGCCTCTTGGGGGGTTTGGGAGGTCGCTTGGGAGCCGCTTGGGGGCATCTTGGGGGCTTCTTGGGGCCTAGTGGGCCTGGGCACCTGTTGGATGCGCCCATTTAGGTCTTACTGGGGCCCTCTTGGAACCATCCTGAGGCCGCCGACGCTCGTCGGAGGAAAAAAGCTGGGAAGCCAGAAAACATTGAGCACACACATTGTTTGTTGATGAGTTTCGCCTCTCGGGTGCCTCCTTGGCGAGCTCTGTGGCAGCATCGGGCTGCCTTGTGGCCGTCGACGCGCCTCTTTGGCGCATGTTGGAGACCATCCCGGGCTAGTGTCGACCACCGCGCGCCATCCTGGAGGCCATCTCGGGCTGTTTGGAGCTCTCTTGCCCAAAGGTGGTCCGGAAGGGGCCCAGACGCCAGAAGGGGCCCAAACTCCCTCCAGTGGGGTCTAAGAGGGGCCCCAGATGCGCTCGAATCGGTAAAGCGCCAACATGGGCCACCCCTCGTTGGGAGACGGAGCATCTTGAAGACCTTCAAGACGGCCCCAACACGGCCCAGAACGGCTCCAAGACGCCCCAACAGACCCCCGAGTCGGCCCAAGGTGGCCCCCGAGACGGCCGCATACGCCCCCAAAACGCGGCCAGGAGGGCTCCACGCTGCCTCCGAGAACGACTTTTTCTCATAGACTCTTTCCCAGATCCCTCCCGAATCTTCCCGGACCCCTCAGGGGACTCTCCCGAACCCCTCCTGGGGCCGAGCACTTGTAAGAACCATCGAAATATTCATACCAGCATGTAGGAACATGAGGGGGACAGCTAGGGTAGACACCGGTGATATTTTCCGTATGTGACGCGAAAGTGTAACGAGTAGACAGCGATTCGTCGAATAGTTCCCAGACTACGAAAACGTCAATTCGTCAAATGGTCACTGCGTACAGAAAGACAAACATTAGACAACGGGGGAAGTGTTACGGGTAGGGGGAGGGGTAAACCCCTCCCCGAACCGAAGGAGAAGAGGGAATATGAACAAGGAAATTCGCTAACAAGGAAATTCGCTAAGCCACTCACGCCCAGAGGGCTGGTGGGATTGGATAGGGAACAGGGGGTAGACAAGTCGCCAGTACAAGACTATCTTGACGCAACCGCAGGGATCGCCTCACCAGAGCAAAATGATATTGACCGCAGTCGCGGGGAGCCACTCACCAAAGCAGCCTGATCTTGCTCTCCCATCTTGTTTTCCCCTGTTGCCTCGCCCTCGTGCCCATCCAATGTTTCTGGCCCCCAGGGTGCACACAGGTTGAATGATCCACGCGGTGCCAGGAACCAGCCCAAGGGTCGTCCAGTATTCCGCCGCACCATGTGTTTGGGGGGAGACACCACCACAGAGGTGGTATTATCGTGCTTGGGAACAGCACCGCTTTTATATTGGCGCCGACGGCACCGATTCATCACCGACGTCGCCGATGAAGCCCCGATGCGTCGGCGATGCATTGCCGATGCTGCGCGATTCTCCGTCCCCAGTCATTGCGGCCCAATTCAAGCGGCCTGTGCATGTGGTTGCCTATTCCGCTGCACCGTGCTGGGATCCCCCAGAGGAGGAGTCAGGAGCAGGGTGATTGTTCGGATTACGGTTAAGTCGGGCGTGTCCACTTACAGGCGGATATGGGAGGATAAGTTATAAATGCTAAAACATAGATCCAACACTATTCACAAAAATACTCAAACAATCGTCCCCAGAGTATTTTGACTATTTTTGATTATTCCCCCCTGCGGAGGGACGTGCCCGACGTAAGCTTACGCCACAAAGCCAACCCCTTGGGGTACTGGCGGTTCTTGCGCGATGCTCCTGAGGGCTTCTTGTGGGCCGTTTGCGGGTCTCTTGGAGATCGTTTGGGGCTTCATGGGGGTCTGTCTTTTGGGGGCCGTTTCGGAGCTTCTTGGGCTGACATTCTCAGCATTCGCGGTGCACGCATGGGTAAACGGGCGAGAACCCACGTATACAGACGGAGGGCATTTGTCAAGACGGCCCAAAAATGATTATCGAAGACGCCTACGTCGCCTACGTCGAATCTCCGCCGCCCCCTGCCCTTGTGGAAGCGCCCATGTGGCTGACAGCTGGGCTAGAGCCTGGGGCCAAGCTAGCGGGCCAGTTGTTCCCGAGTCGGTTTGGAGAGCCTTCGGGGAACGCGTGGGGGAGCAATAGGTTTGAGAGCGCTCATGTGTCCGAGCGTTGTGGCAAGAGCTCTGCCAAGCTGTCGGACCATGTGTTCCCCCAGCCGTTGTGGAAACCCTTCGGGGAACACTTCTGGGAAGATGGCGGGGAAGACCAGGAGGAGGAGGAGGTGAAGGAAGAAGGAGGAGGAGAAGGAGGAGGAACGTAAGGAGGAGGAGATGAGGAGGAGGAGTCTTGGGCGTCTTGGAGGCCTCTTGGGCCGTCTTGGGGGCCTCTTAGGGCCGTCGTGGGCCTCTTGGGCGATCTTTGGGGGCACTTGGGCCGTCGCGGGCCGTCGGAAGGCAGAAACAAGGCAAATGCCACAATCCTTCAAAAACTCATGGGAACTCCATGATATTGGCCTTTTTGGGCCTTCCTGGAGACCCTCTTGGAGGTCTCTTGGGCCGACTTGGGCCATCTAAGGGCTATCTTCGGCCGTCTTGGTGGGCTCCTGGCCCGTCTGACGCCGTCGGAAGCCGTTTGGGGGGCCTCTCTGGGCCGACTTGGGGCTCTCTTGGAATGCTCCAGGGCCGTCTTGGAGGCCATCTTGGGCGTCGAAAAGGCCTCCCGGGACTTTTTCGTGCTCTTTTGGGGCCGTTTTGAGGGCCTCTTGGGCAGTCCTGAGGCCAACTTGGAGGCCTCTTGAGCGCTCTGGGGGCGATCTTGGGGGCCTCTTGGGCTGTCTTGGGTCGTCGGAAAGCCGAAAAGGAGCAAATACGAAAAATCGTTGAACAACCTCAGGAAAATCAATGTTTTTAGCCTCTTCGGGCCCTCCTGGAGGACCTCTCGGAGGCCTCTTGGGCCGTCTTGGAGGCCTCTTGGGCACCTCTTGGGCCGTCTTGGGCCGTCTTGGAGGCTTCTTGAGCGGACTTGGAGGCATTTTCTCCTCTCTTGGGCGGACTTGGAGGCCATCTTGGAGGCCATCTTGGGCCAACGTGGCCATCTTGGAGGCCATCTTGGACCATCGGAGGATTTTTTTCCGAATTGAGGTCCTTGGCAATCTTTCGGCGTGACCGGCGGGACGCGCCGGAGGCCCCTGGGGAGTTCTTTTGGAAAAGAACCAAACCAAAGCCGAAAAGGTCTAGCACGCCATGCACCCCTGCGATGAATCGGCAGGGGGCGGCGGATCGAATGGCTTTTTCGGCACATCCCGCCACCGTGCCTGGGTTGCGGGTCTGAGGCCACTCGGATGGCTGATGGAGTCTCATGGGAGGCGTCTCAGGGGTGTCTTAGAGGCAGTTTTTGAACCTCTTGGGGGCCTCCCGGGGGCCTCTTGGGAGCTTTTTGCGGCCATTTTGGGGCTTCACCGTTTTGGGAGCCCCCACAGGAAGAGGCAGGAGCAGGGTGACACGAAGCAGGAGCAGTAGGACGAGCAGGATGACGTGCGTCATTCGACATAGGACCAGGACTGTGGATGCGGGAGGAGGATCAGGCTCAGGACCCGGGGCGCCACTGTTGCAGCCACCCCCGCAGAGGTGGTGTTCCCGTGCGAGGGACCCACGCCGCCCCCGCGCGGGGGGCTGTTGCGGCACCGCCGCGTGAGCTGAGGGCACCCGCTGCGCGCCGCTCGCGCGCGCTCGGCGCTGCACGGCGCTGCGCGGCGCTCCGCGCTCGCGGCCCCTCCTCCGCCGAATGCGCCTCCGCCGCCGCCGCCCCCGCCGCCGCTTCTCGTCAAGGACCTCACCGGAGACGAGAGTACCACTGCCACCAGCTAGGGGGGTGGCCGTCCCGCCCTCTCGAGCTGGTGGCACCTCGTTCCAGGCATGCCTCCAGAGAGTTCTCGGAAGGAGGTGCCACCAGCTCGAGGGGAGGGAGCGGCCACCCCCCTAGCTGGTATGGTACTTCTGTCTCTCCTGAGGATCGAGGGGCGTCAGCGATCCTGAGACTGCTACCCTTCCCTCTTCGCCAGGGCTGGAGTCGCCTCGGAGGTCTGGTCAGAGCGCACTGCCAGGAGAGGCCCGTGGAGGAGGGACCGCTTCTTGTCCCCTGGCGATAACGGGCGTGACCGGGAGTCGGAGAGGTGGCGGGGGCCGGTCGTGTCCCGATCGGCGCTGGCGCCGCCTTGGAGTGCCTACGAGTGGCTCATTCCCAGACGGCGCCCGCGCGAATCGTGACGTGACCGAAAGGTGGGGAAGGGGGGGGGCGAGGTTGGTCGCGGGCGTTATCGCGAATGACACACAAGTGGGCTATTGAGGTTCGTCAGAGATGTTGGTGCCGCTACCCTTCCCTCTTCGCCAGGGCTGGATTGGCCTCGAAGGTCTGGTCAGGGCCAGCTGAAACCGCGGTTCCGATTCGGTTCGGTTCGATATCCGCCGGGGCCAGCCAGAGCCAGGCGAGAGGATGAGAGGTTGAGTCTAGTCGGGACGATTCGCTGGCGGTCCGATCCGTTCCCAATTCGATCCGATTTCGCGTTTCGTTCTTGTCCATGAGGAGGGGCAAAAACGCACAGACACAATGCATCGTGGATTCCCGAGAAAATATAGGAACAACTGGGACACATGGGGGGGAGGGGGGGGGGGAAGACGCAGACACAGAACATAGTGGAAAATATTTGGAAATCCTGGGATTTGTGCGTGTGTGTGTGTGTGTGTTTTTGGTTGGGCCCCTTGAGTTCAGGCCCGCCTCTTGTCGAGGTGTGGGGATCGGGAGGTGCAGGGTTTTTTTTTGGGGGGGGGGCGCTGCTGCTCCCTGCTTCTCTGCACCTTTCCAGCGGCCTCCTCGGTTGGGGTCACGGCCAGATTCCCCACTGAGACTCTGGAGCGGACGCACCCCCAGCAAGGTCTGGGGGAAGCGAGGTTTGATTTAAGTCGTGCATGCCCCTTACAGAGGGAATATTCAAACATAGTTGTTTGTACCAAAGAAAGCCACTGTATGATTTTTCCCAACCGTCCTGTGCTGTTGGGTCCTCGTTTCGTTTTGAAGAGACAGTCGTCGCGTTCACTCCTCCTTCTCCCACTGCCCCCTCCCTCGTCCCCCTTCTCGCCGATGCCCTCCGCATGTTTTTGTTTCGGCACACCCACCACGCGCTTCGTGGCCGCATAGGGAGCTCCACAAGAGGGCCCCGTGGCTGCGCTAACATGAGACCACCGCACCCATATCGGCACACCCCTCACACGTTTCGTTGCCCCATAGGGGGCTCCTCCGAAGGCCCCAGTGGCTGCGTTCGCATGACACCGCAGTACCCATGTCGGCACACCTCTCACACGTTTCGTGGCCGCATAGAGAGCTCCACCGGAGGCCCCGGCGGCTGCACTTGCATGACACCACCGCACCAATGTCGGCACACCCCTCACACGTTTCGTGGCCCCATAGGGAGCTCCTCCGAAGGCCCCAGTTGCTGCGCTCGCATGACTCCGCAGCACCCATGTCGGCACACCGGTCACACGTTTCTTGGCCGCATAGAGAGCTCCACCGGAGACCCCGGTGGCTACACTCGCATGACACCACCGCACCCATATCGGCACACCCCTCACACGCTTCGCGGCCCCATAGGGAGCTCCACCGAAGGCCCCAGAGTGGCTACGCTCGCATGACACCGCAGCACCCATTTCGGCACACCGGTCACACGTTCCGTGGCCCCATAGGGAGCTCCTTCCGAAGGCTCCAGTGGCTGCGCTCGAATGACACCGCAGTACCCATGTCGGCACACCGGTCACACGCTTCGTGGCCCCATAGGGAGCTCTTTCGAAGGCCCCAGTGGTTGCGCTCGCATGAGTCCACAGCACCCATTTCTCGGGTCCCTCCCCCACCACGAATCAAAACCAGGGCCTCGACAAATTTGTTTTGCATTTTTTTGACATATTGATTGGTGGAAACAAATGCGGTCGTCGCCGCGCGCTTGCCCTGATTTAGCAATGTCGGTCGACGGACGCACGCGATGCGCGCGAGTTTCCTTCTCATAATTGTTTCTGCCGTGTGCCGCGTTTTCATGACGCACGTGCCACGTCTTGCCCTTTCAGATTCAATCGCTCGTACCAGTGCGCGGACCGCATGCAGGCCGCAGTCCACGCGCGCTAGCGCGGCGCACCGCAGCGCGCTTCGAAACGATGTTGGGCACAATGGCATGTTTACCGCAACGCCGCGAATTTGTTAGCCACCCCGCGGGGGTGATGCCGAACGCATGCGTGTCCCACCGCATGTGTGCCGCCGGAGCTAATTTTCTGATTTCGGTCGTGAATTGCATTGCGGGCGCGTGTCAGGCGCCCTCGACGCGTCATGCAGCCCGCGCATTGGGCGTCCACGCATCATGTCGGAAACATGTCATCTTACTACTGTCGCGTTCGCTGGGCGATTCGCGGTCCTAACGGGCGCGCAGTAGCATTATGCGGCGAAAGGGGGGACATGGCGGCGCGGTGGGGGAGGAAGAGAAGGAGGAGGGATATTGGCAAGAGGAGGAGGAAGATGACGAGGAGGAGGAAGAGGGCGAGGGGACATGGCGGCGGGCGTCCCCGACTTCAGCTTGCCTGGTCCAACCCTTCGGGGGGGCGTCGTTCGGCCGGGGCGAGCACTGCGTGGAGTTCGCCCCAGGAAGTTTCCATCGGATATTCGGGGGGGGCGAAGGCGTTGGTGTTCCGATGCCTGTGGCGAACCCCGCCGCTATGCGTGCGCTGTGGGTCGCAAGCCTTTTGGATGTCGGTGCAGGTTTCGCTTTCTTTGTGCGAGGGGATTTCCAAGATGTTTTGGGGGCTTTCGTGCAAAACTTACAAAACCTCGTGGACGTTCTCGGCGGCGTCATGGGCTTTCAGGTGGCACTCGTGGGAGCCTCGCAGGGGCGTCGAGGAGAAATCTGGGCCTTGCTGCGGACAAGTTGGGGCCGGTGGTTGCAACGCTCTCCCTTTATCGCCCTTTCTTCCTCCGCCCTAGTAATTCGTCCACCTTCCCCCTGCCCCATCCCTCCCCTTTTCCCTGGCTTTCGCCCTCCCTGGCCCTCCCTCCCCCTTTTTCCGAATCTGCCCCTCCCCCTCCCACCTCACCCTACCAATTCGTCCCCCCTCCTTCCGGCCCCATCGTTTCTCTTCCCCTTCCCCTTTCCTCGTCGTCGTCCTCCTCCTTCCTCCCTCTTCTCCCTGTTTTCCGTTCCTGCCCCTCCCTGTTGAATTTCTTTTTTTCGGCGCGCCCAGCACATCGTTCAGTGGCCCCAAAGGGAGCCCCGCCGGAGGCACCAGTGGCAGGGTCCACAAGGCGACGCCGCTCCACTTGAGCGCGCCCATCACGCGGCTTGCGGCCCAATAGGGATCCCCACCGCAAACCTCGGCGGCAGGGTCCGCCATCTTGACAGCAGGGGGGAACTTTCAGGGCCCCTCTTGGGGCTCTCTTGGGGTTCCCTCTTAGGGTTATCTTGGTGCCCTTCCGGTGTCTTCCGAGGCGCGTGGAGAGCCCCAGGACGGCTCCGAGAGGGCCCCGAGAGGGGCCCTGAGCGTCCCCGGCTCCCCTCAACCACCCTCATTATCCTTCCCCCTCCCTTTCCCCGTTTCATCCACGCCTTCCGACCCGTCCTCCTCCTCTTCGCCGCATTGCCCCTCCCCCCCCTCATTCGCGCGCACATCCCATTCCACCCTTCCCCACCAGCCCTCCTGCCAAAGGAACCTGGCTGTCGCTTTCGGCGACGCATCAGCGGCTTCGGCGAACCGCGCTGCGACGAAAACGCTGCATTACGCGGCGCGACCTCGCGGATGCACCAGATCGCTTCGACAAACAGCCCAAGCAAACTGACCGACAAAATGCCCACCTGGACCGTCGAACAAAATTGCCGCGGGGTCCAGGGGGGGTGCATCCTAATTGTGAAATTACAGTGAATCCGCCCCGCAGCGAAAACCAGGAACGATTTTGTCACGACACTTTCTTGGGTCGGTCCGATTCTTTTGTCGCGGCCGTCGTTTTTTTTGTCGACCCACATTTTTTGTGTCGGCCCATTTTGTCGGGCAGAATTTATTGTCGGGGTTGTTCGTTTTTGTTTGTCGGGGCGGTTCAGTTTTTTGTCGGCCAATTTTGTCGGGCCGTCGTTTTTTTGTCGGCTGGGCGCCGCCCGCGGCGCGTAGATGCAGGGGGGCCGACGGGTCGAATGGCAGCAAGGGCGCACGCACGCAACGCAAAAGGATAACAATAAGGAGCGCGAGTCAGGGCAAGGCAAAAACAGCACGGGGCGGATGCGGGAGTGGCGGCAAGAGCAGGTGATGACGAAATGAGAAAGACTTTTGGTTGTAGAGTACGTGTCCCGACGGATCCAGCGGGCGCCGAAGTGATCGCGGCACCTTTGGTCTACAATCTGCAACCTCGATGTCAGCATCACGAACGCACGCAGGATGTTCAGCGGGCACAATGCCGATGAAGTCCGCCCCGCGCGTGACGCAGCAAGCAGGCGACGTAACTTAATTCTGTCGCGCCGAGGAGCGGGCGGCCACGCATGTCAAGAAACTCAAAGAGTCCCTCGCGGTCGCCCACGGGGCCTCGCAAAGGCCTATTAGGACCTGGACTAAGATAAGCCTGGCGAAACACCTAACCATATGCAGCTGTGGGTACCTAGTGGGGCCACGATTGCGTGGGGCGTGCGCCAATATGGGGCGGCGCCGCCATGTGGACCGCGCCATCTGCGGCCTCCGGTGGAACTCCATGCGGGGCCGCGAACCGAGCGAAGGGTGCGCCCAAGTGGGGCGCAGCCGCCATG